GCCTTTGAGAAATGAAGGGTCAGAAATTGATCCAGTCTTCAAGTCGGGTCGCCAATTTTCGGGTCAAATTCGATTTTCGCTTAATTCGTATGTAATTTTATTAGAGTATTAAAAAAGTCAAATACAGTAAAAAAAAATCTTTAAATACTACTCTTATATATAATCTATACTACCTACCATCTTTCTTTAGTTATTTTTCACGCAAAAATATAAAGATATTTTTTAAAAAAAATGATGTTCATACATTTGTTTTTGTACAAAAATTAATGGATGAACGTGAATTTAAAAGGGAAAAAAGATAAATATACCCCCAAATTATTGTAAATGGTATGTAGATACCCTCCGTCATATTTTTGAGACATTGGTGCCCTGTCGTCCAAAAACTAGAGCACATATACCCTTAATACCATTTACGGTCATTTTTAAAAAATCGGGTTAATTTGAGTCAATTTGAGGATTTCCGTCAATTGAGGAGTACAAATGATGAAATTAGTAATGGCAGGGGTAAGAATAACTTCGTTTTAACGGTAGGGGTATAGTCAACTATTAAACTAAAGTTAAGAGATATTTTTTACCCTTTTCCCATACAAAATTATAGAAGAACATAAATAAAAATAAATTTTTTATAAAAAATCAGTAATTTGTATTTAAATGATACATTAAAAAAATGGAATTAAAGAATTAAAATGAAAGAAAGTTGAGGTAGAATATATGTCAAAATGAAAATTAACGACAAGTCAAAGGAGCTGTATATGTATTTGGCCAATTTTATTTATGGAAAAAGTATTTTACTCATCATAAACCATTTATCTAGGGTGGAAATCTCTTTCCAACAAATGAGCAATTTTTTTTCCTAAACAATTATGACACCAAATCTTTCCAAGCCCTCAATTATTTCTACATTCCAATTTTTAAAAAGTAAATCAAGCCATCCTTAATAAGATATATATTAAATTAATTACCTTGGAAGGATATATACCCAGATTTTATTAGAATTCTGAGATACTAATAGTGAACCATTTATTATATTTCCTTATTAAGATAATATTTTGTTTTGATTACAAAGGACAATGAGACATATTTATTAATCAACAAATATATATATAAATAGACTAATTCACCTTAATACTCTTATAAACCAAATATAGGGAGCCATATTTCTGCTAGAATTAGAGAAATTAACTTGTTGTTAATTATTGATTAGTGGTGCATATGGAAGATTACTGGTTATGTTATCTTATTATATTTTGGTTTGTTTTGTTAATTGTTCAGAAAGTGGTGATTAATCTCTGTTGGAGACCAAGGAGAATTCAAAATCATTTTTTGAAGCAAGGGATTAGGGGTCCTAAATATAATTTTTTGTTGGGAAATCTAAAAGAAATTGCTGATTTACAACCTTCTTCTTCTCAAAACTTTTCTTTATCCCATGACATTGTTCCTAGAGTCTTTTCTTTCTACCATCACTGGAAGAATATATATGGTACTAATTACTCTCAATTTTCTATTGATTATATGTATGCTTAGTAATTTACATTCTATTAATTTCTTGTGCCACTATTTGGATCTGATTGAATTGGCTAAGAACAACATCTAGGTTATGCATAAGGGGTGTTTAATTTAGTGCTTAATTGCAAATTAAATCATAATATAGTCCGGTTTATATAACTTAAATCCAATCGTATCTCAAAAGGAACTATTTGTCTATTATATGTCAGTGGCTTGTGCTTGAACTTGAATTAGTAGTAAATTGAGTTTTAGTTATATGCATTCACGATGTGTAAGATTTTTTATTCAATATATGATTCTATGAGTTGATGGTATAGCTAGGTAACTAGTATTTCAAAAGCAAGTACTGTTGTGCATAAACACCTTCGTTTTTGTTTACACACACCTTCATAGAAGATGAAATTTGTAATTTTAAAAATAAGACAGGTTATCTGCTACAACAGATAAAAGATTGATGACATGAGTGTAAATTACATGACGATATATATATAAAACTTAAACGCTCAATATAAAAATTGATTGGGAATATAACCTAGAATAACATGTTACTAATATTTTTTTGTGATATATCATGGCACAGGTGCAACATTTCTTGTGCGGTTTGGGCCAACAGTTCGTGTCTCCATCTCAGATCCAACGCTTATTAGAGATATCTTCCTTGTAAAATCAGACAACTTTGAGAAAATTGAAACACCTCCATCCGCCAAGAAGCTCGAAGGCGATGGTTTATCCAGTCTCAGAGGAGAAAAATGGGCTCACCACAGAAAGATATTAACTCAAACATTTTACTCTGAAAATCTCAAGGCAAGTAGATAAACTTAAATACTAATTATATTTTATGAATTTCTTAACGTAATTATGTTTAGACTATCTTTCTTCTCGAAATAAGTTTAACTTGTACGTAAAATTTATATCTTGTCCTTTTCTTAATTAAACAGCTAATGATTCCTACGATGGGGAAGAGCATGAAGGATATGTTGACCAAATGGTCGTCAAAAATGTCGAAAGATGGCAAGGTGGAAATAGAAGTTTCAGAATGGTTCTTGAGCTTGTCTGAAGAGGTGATTACACATACGGTGTTTGGAAGCAGCTATGAAGATGGAAAAGCCATCTTTGAGTTGCAAGCATAACAATTGGTTTATGCCACTAATGCTTTTCGTCAACTTTTCATTCCCGGGTTTAGGTAACGTATATACTCCGCGATCCCTCACAAAAGATTAATAAGCTAGCTTATAAATAATGAAATGAAATGAATACCATACAGGTGAAAGACGAGAACTCTAGCCTCCTTATAAGACTTGCATAGTCCTTCTATCTTTGACCCTTTAGGCTACTTTCTAATGTGTGAGTTAGGCCTAAGGGCTTATTTGACATGGTATTAGAGTCAAACCCGATCCAATGTGGGCCTTAGAGTCCCGGAATGTTGTAAGGATAGAAGTACACACCGAACTGGATAAAAGAATGTCCTTTCTAGGCATGCAAGAGGAGGTGTGTTAGGATCAAACGCTTACCATTATGCCAAAAGTTATAAATGATTGTAAGGACAATACTCTATTTATTAACTAAGTCCACCACGCAAGCGTCATGTTCGATCATGACTCTAATTCGGACCACCCAACCCCCTCGTGAATCTTGTCATAGGCAAGATGTTGACGTTATCCAATAAGGTGAATGAAATAATGAATCCACATTTATAAAGGACAAGAACCCTAGAGCGATAATGAATGGAATGAATCTCACACCTCAAATATATGGACATCATTAAATTTAAATACGTACTCAATTTCAAAACATTGGCGTAACTAAAATTGAAAGGTGTTATTTCTTTATATTTTTACAGGTTCTTGCCTACTAAGAAGAACATAATTTCTTGGAAATTGGACAAAGACGTTAGAAATTCATTGATGAAGCTAATTGAACATAGGAAAAAAAGTTTAGAGTGTGATCAATCGGAGGAAGGCCCGAAGGATTTGTTGGAAGTAATGATCAAAGCTAGTAATTCAACTTATTCAAATAGTGCTATCAAAGTTGATGACATTGTAGAAGAATGCAAAACCATGTTCTTAGCTGGCAAATATACAACCTCAAATTTGCTAACATGGACAACCATTCTATTGGCCATGAATCCACACTGGCAACAACTTGCACGTGACGAGGTTTTCAACGTCTGTGGAGCACGTGACACCCCATCTAAGGACGATATTGCAAAACTTAAAACGGTAAGCACATTCAACCCTAAAGTTATGAGTTCGAATTAGACGTTCACTTATAATTCATCATGTGGTTCAACTTTGTAATGTCAGCTTGGTATGATCCTGAACGAATCCCTCCGACTATATCCACCTCTTGCAGCAACAATCAGACGGGCGAAGATAGATACAACATTGGGGACTTTGAATTTGCCTCAAGGAACAGAGCTACTTATACCGTTTATAGGAATCCATCATGATGCAGAGTTATGGGGAGACGATGTGAATGAATTTAATCCAGGAAGATTTGCGCGCGGCGTCGCTCAAGCAGCGAAACGCCCCATGGCATTCATGCCTTTCGGTTTAGGCGCTCGCCACTGCATTGGGCAAAATTTAGCTATCATACAAGCTAAATTAGCAATAGCTATGATGTTGATGAGTTTCTCCTTTGAACTTGCTCCAACTTACCAACATGCTCCTACTATTCTTATATTTCTATGTCCACAATATGGAGCTCCAATCATTTTCAAGAAATTGTAGTCTTTAGAAATATGGGACTACCTAGATACAATATGTTATGTACTAGTAGTATTTATGAACAATTTCTTGTTTTATATATGGATTAATTAATGGCGATTATTTTCTTTATGATATGATCATGTATGTTTTTGTTGTTGGATAAATGTTGATGATGCCCTTGATTAAATTTGTGAGGCTTGTTATCAGGTCAATGATAGTAATGAGAGTAAAGGTCTTTGATAATAAATTGATCTAAATTGCCTAGTTGTTTGAATTATTTGATCATGAATGGAGAAATGAATTTATTTAATCATTGGACGATTGAATGATTAGTTGTAATTGACATGAAAATATACTTAGCAATTTATTAAGATTTGACAATTAAATAAAATACTTTAGAATTAATCAGGAGTTGAAACAAGAGAGTGACATTATTATAAATATTTGAAAAATAATTTGTGATATGTTACTATTTATAAATAAGAAGCTACAAATATATAATTCTTGAACGACATGTGTGCTTGAGTTGTGTGGTTGCAATCGAAAATGATTTGCTCCAAATATATGATGTTGGGACAAAGAAGACTTTATGTTTTATATTTTTTTTAAACAATGAGTACTTATAAAGATTTCTACCAGAAAAAAGCGCTTTAAAATATTGAAATGTGAATAAATTCTGGTGGTAAAATTATTATTTAATCCTTAAAAAGAAAAATGTAGAGTATAGTTAAAATTAGAAATTCACATTTCACAAAAGAGGTATCCACACTCGTGAGAAATTGTCGCACGAGCGAGTCAACCCATGGGCTTCGGGCCTGTGCCACCCTTACGCTCTCTCATTTTCCACTCCCAAAATTCTCCTTCAAAAAATAAGCATCAACAACGGGAAAGAGAGAGCAAGAACTATTGATCTCATCCACACCTGAGATCAAATCGGAACCCTAACTCCTTGAAGAAAATCATGTGGAGAAGACTTTCTTCCCAGGTTCGGACTCTAAGCCCACTCCGCTCTACCGCTAAATCCAATCGTCTTTCCGCCGCCGCCGCCACCTCCCTATCTTCTTCTCCGGCGACTTCCCGACCTACGGTTCCTTTCATCTCCCGTCACTTCAGTACTGCTTCTGGTAACACTAATTTCATCAGATCTTACTCATTTATTCGCTCACGCACGTATTGTTTATATTTATATAGGCATATTTATATATAAACATGTATGTATATTTGGTTTGTTTTTGTTGTGAATGGATTGTGATGAGAATAAACATTGTTGTTGTGTGGAACAGCGAATGTTGTTAAGAAAGTAGAGGATGTAATGCCAATTGCTACTGGTCACGAACGCGAAGAGCTTGAAGCTGAGATTCAAGTGAGTGAGCTTCATCCTTTAGGAATTTGATGTTATATGTTTGGTTGTGGTTGTACTTATAGTTCTAATTCAAATATATTGATTTAGGTGTAGTTGTGACTATAACTGATACTTTATATGTGTAATTTTTTGCTTGCGTAGGGAAAGGATCTTCTCGCCATTAACTTTCCTGAGGGTCCTTTTGGCACAAAGGTCAGTGTGGTTATTAGTTCTTGTTTTTTGTTACATTTGTTGTCTGTTAATGAAGTAGTTTTATCTTATCTGATGCGTATTGTTTTATAAGATAGAATCAGTAGTTTGCACTTGTAATGATGGGTACCTCTCCCTATCATGGATAACGTGCATGACTCAACGATAGGTATTGTTGGAAGTAGCTGTTCTTTAGGCATTTGACTGACTTTCTCTATAAACTAGTAATATGTATGAGTACAATTCCATTAGGTCATATCGAGTTTTACTAAACTGACGTTTTGTCCCCCATTCAGTATTAATTTTGTAGGATATGTATAATACAAGTGTCTGGAAAAAAATGTACATGTCGCCTTGTAAAATTCCAATTTTATGTTCCTTCACATATATCTAGTTCTGAATTTTTCATAAAGCCACTGTGACTTTCTTAAGTGATGTAATAATCCGTAGGTAGGTGTTGCTTTTCCCTCTTTCATCAATGGAACATGCCATGGTGCAGCATTTGATCCATCATAATTAGTAAGAAATGGATTACTGTCTCAAACTTCCATAGCAAACATGATGTTGCGTTTCCTTTAATTTAAGGAGGGAAAGGGCACTGGAATGAGTTCGTTTACTTCCCTTATGTTTTTTGGCACGAGTGACGTATAAGTCGATGAGCTTCACCTCCCTCTTACGTTCAATTTTGAAAGGGTTAGAAAGAGTGAGAACTGTCAATTCTCTATACTTCACTTCCTTACCAAATAGGGGAATATAATCTTGTCCCATTTCCTCTCCTTTCTATTCTTGCTTTAAGTGAGTCTAATCATATTTTTGGAACAAACTATTGATGGCATGGGCATTTTAAAACCAAACTATTAACTGAGAGCATTTTTGTTCAATTTTGCATAGTTCAAGGATATTTTTGACCATTTTCTGTATTTATTATGAACACGAACATGATAAAAGAAACCTATTTAATTGAAGTGCAATGTTGCTTACTTCTTCTTCATATATGTCTATTGCTGTCGAATATGAGTAATCAATGCTATCTCCTTGTATGAATCATGTTCAATGCTAGCTGTTAGATGACATGTAAGCTCTAGTTGCTAGTGTTCTTATCATTCAAATATTTCCCCTAGTTCATGTGCTTATGTTCATTTCCCAATGTTCTTTCACATTCTACTAAGCTGGAGTACAAATCTTTTCAATTTCTGTAATTAGTTTGTACATGGAAACAAAAAGTGATCATTTTGGATGGGTATCTTCTGTCAACATTTATACGTGGAAATAAAACATGGTCAAGCTTAGATGGGTTGTAACTTGTCATCCGTTTTTTTTTATATAAAAAAAATGTTGTTTTGGATAAGGCATAATCTTGCACCAACAAAAAGACATGTACATGTGTGAATAAGTGCACATGCATGCGTGTCGAATTATGCGGCATACCATTTTCTTTGGTGTGAGTAGCTTAAACTAATCGCTACAGATTCTCAGATTTGTCACAAAGGAACTTCATTTTGCCTGAGTATGTGTACTTTGACCAGATCTTTCAGAATTCACCAGAACACTGATACCATACTGGAGGCTTTAGAACTTATACATGTATACATGAGGCTCTAATTATCAGCCAAATCTACTTTTTCTTCTTTTTTCGCTCTCTGATCTTCACCTTTTAAACCATCTCTATTGTTGATGTTGTAATCTCACAGCACTTAGCTGTTTTGAGTTTTGACATCAATGAAATGCCATTTACACCTTTCAGAAAAATAAATCACTAGAAACTTGTCAACCTCTGAACCTACTCATATAGTCATGTCAAGCTCATCCCTGAATCCGATCCTCTCAGCACGTAGGTCTCAATGTCCAATTTGTTGCGACTAGAAAATTTCCCCTTGACTTCTTGTGTTTTACATTTTAAAACACTCAAATGTAATTATTTTATGACTGTCAGTGATGTGATCTGCTAATGTAAAACATATTGTGTGCTTATGAGTCTACAGAAAAATTTAATTTCGACGTGGACTACTGTTGCTTCTTATGTATGGTTCAGGATAAAAAATTATTTATCATCAAAAAAGAAAGGATTATGTGAGGACATACTTTACATAGATATAAGCTACTACAGTAACTTTCCAATTAGATGTGTGGTAACATGATCAAATATTTTGAATATATTACAAATGTAGGAAGCACCAGCTGTTGTTGAATCCTACTACGACAAAAGAATTGTAGGATGTCCAGGAGATGAAGGTGGTAAGTCTTCTTTACAGATTCAGATAAAAAAATGTCTCTATTACTGATTTTTTCCCTTAGGAAGTTCACTTAATCTTCTATGTCATTTTCTAATTTAACAGAAGACGAACATGATGTTGTTTGGTTCTGGCTAGAAAAGGGCAAGCCACATGAATGCCCAGTATGTGCACAGCATTTTGTGGTAAGTAATGAATTTCTGTATTCTTGGGTCATATTATCATGTTCTAGGATGTTAGGAATTTTTAGAGATTTGAAAGGCAGTGGTGGAGCCAAGGGTTTGCAAAATATGAAGAAGCCAAAGGGGGTTCAACATCTACGGTATATATATAAAAAAATAATTTTAACCATGTATAAACGATGTAGTTTTCCAACGAAGGGGATTATTGGGCCCTTACTAGCTCCCCCCTGGTGAAAGGTCACAGCACTCCTTAATCAGGGGAAATTGCAGATTCCTTTACAGGTGACTTTCCTCTTTTTTTCTTCCAATTTTTGAGAGCGGAATCTGAGCTGTAAATCATCTAATTCTAGCCATCAATTGTTACCCATGCAAACCTTAATTTCTTAAGCTTTTACTCATAATGAAAGCTCATATTGGGAATGATTTTAATTCTATGCAACAGTTGAAGGTGGTTGGCCCTGGAGGACCTCCTGATGGACATGACGATGATGATCATCATCACTGATAGCACTTGCAACTTTTCTACCGGAATAAATCTGGTTCAGATGATGAGAGATTTTCTAACTCTACAAACACAGGATAAAAAAGTTCTGTGATTTTGTTTACTTTTAGTGGATCGGTTGTTCTTACAGCTGCTGTGGCAGCGGTGAAGTTGAATACTTTTGCTTTTAGATTTCACTTAGACGTGGCATGGTCTGTTAGAATTAGAAACCCAGTTTCTCCAAATGCAGAGCTCAATAATCAATAGCCACATATTTGATTTTCTTGCAAGTGTTCCCTTTTGTTTTGTTGAAGTGCTCATGTTGGCACAGCGTGTACTTGAACAAAATGATGTTTCATCATTACCAGACTGCTGCAACATTCTTTCATAACACCTTCTTTATACATAAGTAAAACTGACAACATACTTTGTTGCGGTCAGTTACACACTAAGGTTGCATTGTTGAATTATATTTCAGTTTACCAAGAAAGATGCATTCCGAGGAAAGCTGCGTAAATATGATGTTTTTTTTTTTTTTCTTCCCAGTCGGTGTCCGGTACCCACATTGGGGGTAAAGTAAAGCGCTCCCTAACAAAGGCAAAGGCGACTTACCTGAGACATCTACTTAAGGATGAAAGATTACTTACCATTTCACCATAATCTTTGTTGTGAAGTTGTTTGATCAAATTTGTGAATTAAACCTATAATAATTGGATATGCATGTACACAAACAGCCTTTTATTTTCAAGAGAATAATGCAAGGACCTACTCTCCTAATAATACTGTTACATTGTAAGCTTTCGTATGCAAGGTTGTGGTAAGAATCAGGGCCAGACTCTATATCATTAGTTACGGATTTGGCAGAACCAATAGCTTGAGCTAGCCAGATCTTGTGAGAAATTTACTTAAAATGTATAAATAATTTTATTCCGAACCAAACATAAGCTATAGAATTTATTATCTATAAACTTAAAATCTTGAATCGAACATTAAGAGTACGTGTTACCATGATAGGTGCCCAAGTTTAGCTTCCAGGAGGCTCAAACCTGGAATAACGAATATCTATCGAATTCCGCTACAGGAAAAAGGCAAAAAGGAATATAAAGTGAATCATATTATCAAGATGGACATGGAAAAAAGTTGGAACAGGTGAGACAATACGAGAGAATAGAAATATTTCCTTTTCTGGTACAAAAAATGAATATTTCTCTCAGTTAAAACAAATATTTTTTCTTAATTATTTACATAACTCTGGACACGCAATTATTTCATATTCCGGTTCGAAATTTAAAGAAGAATTAAGCAGCAATACTCTCTATGATACATGAATATTCGTGACTCATAGAAATAAGGATCGATTACCTGGCAGTGGCGAAGCCAAAATTTTCACTAAGGGATTTCAAAATATGAAAAGTAAATGTACAAAAAAAGCCAAAAAAGATTCAACATATACTATAAATAATATAATTTTTCGAAGAGGATTTGAATCGTTGGCCCTACCTGACTCCATTCTGTTACCTTGTAAGAACTAAGAAAAGAAAGGTACTTTAGTGTGATGGGAATAAAAATGGAATTCATTCTCATCACAAAAACAAAGAATATTGCTAGCTGTTTTTATGCATGTGCTTCTTTTCATTTCTTTTCTTTTGGGATAAAAACAATGAAAGAGCAGAAAATCAGAATTAGATCCAGAGTTTTGTTAGTGAGTATAAAATATTATATATTCGAAAACTACTTCAAATGATTATCGAGAGTTTTGTCACATTAAATTTAATTAAAATACGTGTGAATGTACAAATATAACTCGTTTCAAACTTTAAACTTGAGTTATTCGAATTAGATTGTGATGCATTTCTTCACTTATAATTTGTTTCATACTACTTGTCTTTAAACAAATTTTAAACAGTTTGACTTGTACGATTGAATTTTATTGAGCTATGTTAAATGTGAAGTTTTTCTTCTGTCGTTTAGTTGAGAACAAGTTATCCCAAGATTAATTATCCTGGGATAGCTTATCTCATCACTATGGTATAAATAGTGGGATAAGTTATCACAAACATGACAACCAAACAAGACACCAAATTTTTATCTCATAACTATTTTTTTATTTCAGGACTATTTATTCTTATCCCTCACACCAAACGATACAGATCTCTCTCTATTTGTTCCTACTATACAACAAAATAAAATAAAATTTAAAAACACAAAATTGTGCTTCATTGTAAGCTTTCACGGGACTGGAAGGTAAGGTAGGGTCATGAACAATTAAAAAGGGAGGACTCATGCGTTGATAGTCATCATCAAGAACTAGATGGGGATGATTCATGCATTTGTAATGTGATCATAAAGATAGTAATTCAATAAAATTGATCATATATAACCAATCAATCACGTGGCTAAATAGTTCTCTATCCATTTTCTTTTTATAAAGATCTTGTCTTTTATACTATAAAGTATTTATATAAAAAAGAAGTTAATAGAACCTACTATATATATGCATAAAATGAGGCCTAAAAGTTTGGATCCCAAAGCTTTTGTTTGAGAAGGGGGTGATTCATGCATTAGTAGGAGTCATCAAGAACTAAAGGGGATGTTTCATGCATTGATAAACTCACTTTACCAACAAATCACCAAAATTAATGGGAAGAGGGGTTAGGTTATATTATGGAATAATATATATATTATCCTGCCAAGTGCCAACCTTCTTTGTTTTTTTCCTTTTTATTATTCTTTTCTCTTTAAACAAAGAAAGAGAAAAGACATAGGGTGTGTTTGATATGAAGGAAAATGTTTTTTTAAGAAAAATAAGTCGATTACTTATTTATCTGTTGTTTTCAAAGTAAGCAAAATATATTATTCCAAAAGAAATTATACATAACTTAGGCAAATGTTATAGAGGATTGAACGGTTGTAGGGTGGTGGAGTTGAGATGTGTTGGAGGGTGAAGAAGAAATAACTAATGTAGAATATCACTATTTAACTTGTCGTTTTAGGAAAGTCATTTTTTTATAAAAAATCTACTGAAAATAATCTCTAAAAATTTTGATCAACCAAATATAAATATAAAATAAAATCTTTTCTTAAAAAATGCATTTCTACTACCAAAACGCCCATAAAGTTAATATATATATATAGAATAACTATTTACATACATTAACAGTATTATAAAGTTATGTTGCATGCACTATTAATGTAGTTTGACCTGTCGTAACATTTTACTTATCATACTTTTCAAGTCACTTGGCATTTATTATAAACAGACTTATAGTTACCTTTTGTATGATTTTTAATAGTTACAAAGACGATATATTTAAACTCGAAAAAGTATAATAAGATTCCAGTCTTTTAGTTACAACCGTTCCAAATGTCATAGGGAATAAAGGTCACACAAGAAAATTGCAACCGTGTACAAAAAAAAAAAAAAAAAAGGGACAGCCATCAGTTACAAGTTGAAAAGGAATTTCCTCATTGAGGCCAATTTTTCCTCAATCTAATTTTATAGCTCAACTACTTTAATTTTTTAATTACAACTTTTAAACAATTTATATTGTTAAATTTGAACAAATTAAAAAGGTGCTAGCTATATACTAGTGACAACATGACATCATCAAACTCATTCTTAACCAGAAATCATGAATTTGAGCTCTGAGAATGGAATTACTTATCCTCCCAAAGAAGGACGATTTTCCGATACAAATTTAAAGTAATTATACTCAAAATAGATACTGGACAACGATGGAAACCCAAAAAACAAAAACTATATACTAGTGGCAACAGCATATTTTGTCGCTGAGTTAAAAATTAGCCCCACCAAAAACCTAATCTTGATTCTAATTGAGTATCAAGAGATATGATAATTAATTTATTATTGTATTTAGTTAATTATATTATAGTCCTGTAACATGGATGTTTTTAAGTGGGGTACTGGAGTTGACATTCAAAAGATTTCAATATAATTACTCTCCAAGAAAGACTTTCTTTTCAACGGAATAATTGTTGTGTCCGTTAACTCAAAATCTTTTTGAGATCACTTGGACAACCTGATAAATACATTTACTATGTTGGTCGCGGAATCAAGATTTTTAAAGATATTTATTTTCATTCAAAAAATTTAAAATATACAAGAAATTGAACATGTGAAGAAGTTTTATATGTCTCCTCTGAGTGGTGAACCTAAAATCTCAGCATTCTCAGTCACTTTAATGATCACTAGATCACACCCTTAGATGCCTTGCATTTGATCTATATCAATCATTCTTTTTAATCTTTCAAAAGAAAATCATGTTATGATGATGTGTTCCATATTAAAAATTTTAAGATATTTTTTCTATATGTATCAAAAGCATATTTGGTAAAAAAAAAAAAAAAAAGTTATATTCAATCAAATATCATTATATACAATGAACATAATAGAGAAATGCCTAGTCATGTAGAGGTACAACATAGAACATTATTATATTGAACATGACCTGTCAAATCTATACTTGCCCATATGCCTAATATAAATAAATATTTACAACACATATACCTACCTTGGTATAAGCTTCAACCAGGGCTACTCAGCATTTTTTATTCACTTGAAAATATTTTTGATGTTTTTCAAAAAATGTGTGCAAGCTAAGCATATATAGGTTCAACATCTGAATGATAATTCTCTAGTTTAAAGTCAACAACTTCAATCATATTTTGTTAGTCATTCAAATTCATCTAAATATGTACTTTTTTCAGATTTATATGTTTCTATGTTTTTTGATGTAAGATATTGTAAAAATATACAGTACAAAAAATATTCTTGATATACGATATGATACTATCCTTTTTTTGTGAAGGTAGTATAATTTTCTTCAAAAAGCTTCACATCTTCAAAAGTACTAATACTATAACATCTCAAATTTTATGATTAAACGCCTACTTAATATTGCGTCGTTCATTTTAAAGCAAGGATTTCCCCAAGTTAAGTCCACAATTCCATCATGCACCAAAAAGAAGGACCCATAGGCCATGGCCCATGGGGACAAGACTAAGCGGCGCATAATGGGCCGAGGAATTCATCTCCTATATGGATAATAATAGCATTACTTTTTTTAAAAAAATCTTATAATAAAATTACAAGTAATTAAATTGTTAAAACAATTTCAATGAGGACTATAATCGATGTTTAGTTAATCAATGAAAATCGATTATAATATACTTAACTTCTTCTTTAGTATGTTTATATGCAATATCCAGTTATCGCCCTCATGGGCACACTCCTCTTTGGGACAATTTGGTCTAATTGACAATTGTTGTGTTTTAATTCGCCAAGTTTAAAGCCCGCTTGAAAATGAAACTTACAAGAACTTTATTCAATATATATATAACTTTAACTTTTAAAAAAGATATTTTTAATCGTCCTTAATGAAAATTCTAGATTAATCACTGGTGCGCAGGAACCTATTATTAAGAGATGAGCGTTCGGTTCATGCAACTTTTGTGGTTGTGGAGTCCCTTTTCAGTATAAAACGAACCAAAAAACTCATGATGATTTTTTAGACTTTGGACTTTGAATTTATAGACTTTGCACAAGAAAAGGACTTTGAGCCACTAATTTATAGGTGGCAAATCCTGAAAAAGCTATTCTAGAGAGACAAAAACAATTTTTGAAGATAAAAAGTTCATTTACTTTTTTGCAAATGTTGTCCCAAAGATTTCCAGGTAGGTCACCATATCTATATACCTTTATCTAAATAGAATTTTAATTTAAAAAGTTAATAATTATTCTTGATTAAATTATTTATATTTACATAAATATCAAGCTTCAAACATGTTAATGTGTCGCATAAATTAGGATGAAAGAATTATTATTTTAATTGTTCTTTCACTATTACTATTAAAATATGTCTGTGTATGCTTCCGCGTGTAGCGAATCTAAAATTTGAAGTTTATAGTTCTGAATTCTATTTCTTTTAAAAGTTACTAGGTTTTCAAATATATTTAATGAATGTTTGAATCAAAAGTAAGTGTTTTTGGCGAAAATCATAGCTGACACTCTCGCTCTACTCCTTGCAGGTGTGTGTATATATATATAGTAACGAATCTAGAAATTTCAATACGAGGATTCAAAAATTAGAACGTAATGAAAACAATGGCACAGCGGGCATATATTATATATGTATGTTTAGCTGGTGAAAAATTCAAATAGCAATAAGGAATTTGTGCTCTTTTCTTCGAGTGCTTCATTGAATATTGTCACAATGATGATAAATTGGACTATTGAAATTTCACTTTTTTCCAAAAAAAAAAAAAAAAAGAAAGTTAATGGGTATCCATCAATCATCAAACAATACATAAATAAATGATTGTTAGATATATATTTTTTTTAATACAAAATTGGTATTATTCCTTTCTTGTTTTCAGTAATATTCTTAACTGTAGGTTGCTTTTATTTATTGCCCCTGTCCAACAACAGGTATAGATTCTCTCTCTCTCTCTCTCTCTCTCTCTCTCTCTAACTCTAGAAGAAAATGGATGGATGATTTTTTTGATCTGGTTCTCCTCCATTTTGTCAAGTGCACGTCGAAATTAGAGACATGTGTCATATTTAAAGTTTGAAGGTCAAGATTATATTATATCAACAAATATCATAACCATAGTTAAGCCAACTAATTTTAGAAAACTACTTTCCAAATTTGGTAAGAATTACAATATATTCTATACAAAATTTGATATTTATTAATATCATTAATTTCATATTATATTTTTGTATTTAAATATTAAATTGAATTTTTTTAGTTTTAAACCAATTATTTTTAAATGATAAAAGATTGATATTCTGCGTTCTTTTAATTACTTATGCTCAATTCCAATGTTCTCCTTTTTTTTGGATCATTTTTCAGCTTATTTAATTCTACTAAACAATTGCTAGAACGAAAAATGATTTTTTTTTGTCTATTGCTACAGTACGTTTTAAAAAAATATATATAATTAAATAATTGGAGTGGATTAGTAAGATAAATAAAATAGATATCTTCTTATTTCTTATAAAAATAGTTTAAAATAAAATTAGATTTCAACAAAATTTAATGAAAAGAAAATATTTAAATTGATTGGGTGACTTTTTAAGTGAAATATCAATAGTTGACTGATTTTCTAAGTAAAATATCAATAGTTAAATGACTTTTGAGTTATAATCATTAATTTCATATTATAATTTTGTTTAAATATTAAATTGTAAATAAAAATATAAGATGAAATTAAAGATAGTAATAAATATCAAATTTTGTATGGAATATATTGTAATTCTTACCAAATTTGGAGAGTAATTTTCTAAAATTAGTTGACTTAACTATGGTTATGATATTTGTTCATATGATATAATCTTGACCTTTAAACTTTAAATATGACACATGTCTCTAATCTAGACATGCACTTGACGAAATAGAGGGAAGGGGTAATGGAGGGGAGCCGAATCCATTTTTTGTGCTCTGTTTTGATTCTCTGTTTTTTTTTTTTCACTCTGTTGAAAAGATTGCCTGCTTTTTCCTTTTTATGGATGCCGTTTTATTTCTTTATGAGTTTCTAGGTTGTATATTAGGCAGCTCGTTCACACATAAATACTTCAGTTTTTTTTAAGTTTTTTTTTTGCATATTCAAATGCCTTATTCTATTTTGGGCCTACTCTTATAAATAGGGACTACTTGTTTGGCTTTTCATTGCAGTTGAGAAGCATTTCTCAGTTCACTAGTCTTTTTGACAGTACTACTAAGGTTGCATTTCATCTTTGAAGAGAGTGATATGAGTTATTTAAACCCTTCAACTGGCTCTGGTTAGTTGCAATGTACAATCTTTTCTTTCTCTTTGCTTTTTGATACCACGAGTTAGGGGTAAGGTCTACGTACACACTGAGTATATTGTTGTTACTGTTGTTGCTTCTTGATATCGACCTAGCTTAGCATTGAGGGTTGTTCTGTTCTACTTTGGACATGTAATAAGTAGCTTATAATGGCCTGGGATCAGGAGCGGAGCTAGAAGTCATGTACGGGTTCTGTCAAATTCAGTAACTTTAATTCAAACGTTGTATTTTCATTTTGAAATTAACTTAGTATGTACAAAAATAAAATTTAGAACCCAGTTATTAACACATGATATCATCAGTATTGTAGAATTTAGGCACATAAAGTTAAAATCTTGTCTCCGTCTGTGCTTGAGATGAGTTTTAATGAAGCTACATAGATAGTGAGGATTCACATAACATATCTTGACTTGCTTGGGATTTGGAGGATTGCTTATGTCCTTAGTAAAGCCATTTTTACATTGCAATAGCTATTATCCATGTGGAAACATTTTTTCTCCCTTCTCTAGTTTTGTGTTTTTGCTAAACATCTTTCTTGCTTCAAGCATTTGATAATGGACTAATAGGTTAGTTAAATATCATTACAGGAAGTAGAACTTCTAGGATGACATTCGAGTTCGGGAGGACATATGTCGTGAGGCCCAAAGGGAAACACCAAGCTACAATAGTTTGGTTGCATGGCCTTGGAGATAATGGCTCCAGGTAAAATATGTTTTTCTTTAAGCCGCTAATTTACGCTTAACATATCAAAGACAGTTACTTTCTTGTGCTTACTTGTGCCTGCTTAACAAAATGAAATAGTATGAAGTCACCATGAGAATCAGCCTGAGGCAAATGGAGCATAAATTCTATTAGATGAAACATTGAACTTATTTTGGATTGCTAGATCAAATTAGCTTTTGCTCTGATGCTTGTCTATCCAGCACCTTTTACTCTCATTGTATATGTTTGTTATTTCATCCTGAGATATGGTGATTCATTTGCTGATCACTGATCGCTTTGCTTCTTTATGCAGTTGGTCCCAACTTTTGGAAAGCCTACCCCTTCCTAATGTAAGCAAAGAGCTCGGATAACTTCTTAAATTTTGCTCGACTTGGTTACATCTATACAACTCCTTTAACATAGGGTGTGTTTGGTTTTTTTAGGAAAATGTTTTCCAATTTTCTCATGTTTGGTTGGGTTAAATGTTTTGGAAAATGTTTTCCAAATCAACTCATTTTCCTCAAATTTAAGGAAAATGACTTCCCTTCAAAACTTAAGAAAACATTTTCCAAAACTCTCTTCCAATTTCAAACTACAACTATTTTTTTGTTGAAAAAATCAATTTATTTTGTCCCTACATTCAAACCAGCCCCCCAACCAACCCCCCCAAAAAATAATAATTTAAAGTTTGTTTTTAAATTCAATTTTTTTACCCACTCTCACCCCTACCCCTACCCCCACCCCCTCCCCCTCCCAAAAAAATATTAAAAATTATTTTTAAAAGATATTTCTAATTTCAATTTTTTATTTTTTACCCCCATCCACGACCCTCGCCCCCCTATCAATTTTTTTTTATTGTTTTTAAAAAATATTTTCAACTTCAATTTTTTATTTTTTCATTCCGATCCTCGATCACCCACGCCCCCTCCCCAGCCTGCCCCCAAAAAAAAAAATTGAATTTGTTTTTAAAAAATATTTTCAACTTCAAAATTTTATTTTTTCACCTCTACACTCGATCCCCCCCCCCCCTAACCCACCCATCCCCTACTCGCCACCCCTACCCAAAAAAAAATAATTTAAGTTTGTTTTTAAAAAATATTTTCAATTTCAAAATTTCATTTTTTCACCCTACCTTGACCCCCTCTCACGCACCTCCTACCCAGCCCCCCACCCACCCCACCCCTGCCACCGCCCCCCCCCCCCCAAAAAAAAAAATTTAAGTTTGTTTTTAAAAAATATTTTTAACTTCAAAATTTCATTTTTTCACCCAACCCTTGACCCCCTCCCCCACCCACCTCCTACCCACCCCCCTACCAGCCCCCCACCCCCAAAAAAAAAATTAAGTTTGTTTTTAAAAATATTTTCAATTTCAAAATTTTATTTTTTCACCCCTACCCTCGACCCCCCACCCCCCACCCCCCACCACCACCACCCCAAAAATAATTTTAAGTTTGTTTTTCAAAAATATTTTCAATTTCAAATTTTCATTTTTTTTCACCCCTACCCAGCCCCCCCACGCCACCCACCCCCTACCAGCACCCCCCACCACCCACCCACCCCCTACCAGAACCCCCCCTCCACCACCCCAAAAAAAAAATTTAAGTTTGTTTTTAAAAAATATTTTCAACTTCAAAATTTCAATTTCTCACCCCTACCCTCAACCCACTCCCTCCCACCCCCAAAAAAATTTAAGTTTGTTTTTAAAAAATATTTTCAATTTCAAACAATATTTTCTACCCTAGTAAAAATAAAAGATATTTCTCAAAAAAAAAAAATCATTCAGAAATCAAACACTAAAAATCTTTTCCGAAAAATATTTTCTACTCACCAACCAAACATAAGAAAATAAGTCAAAAATCAACTTGTTTTCCAGGAAAACATTTTCCTTCATACCAAACACACCCCTAGTCTTTATCCTAAATCATTGTTAATTTGTGAAATTATATAACCTTGCAGATCAAATGGATATGTCCAACAGCCCCAACTCGTCCTGTAGCTATACTCGGTGGATTTCCTTGCACTGCGTGTAAGAATGAAACCAAAAAGTATCACAAGTTAACTTTAAGAACTGTTATTAAAGGTCCCTATATGTTATTCCAGGGTTTGACGTGGGAGAACTTTCCGATGATGGTCCTGATGATTTTGAAGGCTTAGATGCTTCAGTTGCACATATTGCAAACTTATTGTCAACTGAACCTGCTGATGGTAAGTTCTAGATTGTCCTTCAATGTAGACCTAAAGCACCGGTATCTCTTGTGTATTTGTATGGTTAGGTCTGTTTAATTCGTGATCTGATTAGTTATTTTAACTGTGTGGTACAGTTAAACTTGGTATTGGAGGCTTCAGCATGGGTGCAGCAACTGCGCTCTACTCTGCAACTTGCTTTGCACAAGGAAAATACGGAAATGGAAACTCCTATCCAGTCAACTTAAGGGCTATCATAGGTCTAAGCGGGTGGCTTCCTGGTTCAAGGTTTGATTGCATATCATATCTCAAACTTGTTAGTGTAGCTGAGGAGTAATATGAAATACTATCTGCATTAGATTTTGGATAAATTCTATTTGTGAATTGTGCAAAGCTTAGTCATACAACTTAGCTTTCTAGATGTCTAAAGCTTCTATTATTCAAGAGCTATAAAAAGGCAGGTACCAAAAAGAGTAAAGAGTGCTTATATGGTCATTTTTATGTTTTCTATCTCTTTTTTTTTTCCCTTAGACAACAGACACATATGGGAGTTAACAACTGGAATTGTGCAGGAACGTTCGTAACAAGATTGAAGGATCACTAGAGGCTGCAAGACGTGCCTCGTCTTTGCCCATTCTACTCTGTCATGGATCGTGTATGTACTTTACTTGCAAATACTTGTATAACACCTTTTTAGCTTATACCATGCATAGAGCGTCTCTCTGAGTCCTCGAGGCTGGACCTCTGATCAGTAACTTGTAATCTGCATAACTATCTTTTTACCCTTTTGTTTTGTGATTTATAGGTGATGAAGTTGTTCCTTACAATTATGGAGAGAGGTCTACCATTGTCTTGAACTCAGCTGGATTCAGGAACCTTGCATTCAAAAAATACGACGGGTATCCCTTCTTTTCCTTTGCAAAATTATAGTTCTAAATGGTATAAAGAGGTGATTTCTAAAACTACCATCTGCTTCTCCAGGCTTGGCCATTACACAGTACCAAGAGAAATGGATGAGGTGTGTAATTGGTTAAATGCAAGGCTCGGGCTTGAGGGTTGCCGATGATGAACTCACTCTTAAGAGTTTCATGTTATAAGTAATTCAGGAGTGAGGACAAGTGCATGAGGAAGCACTAATATGGGGGAGTATACACTTACAAGTTGTATGTAGTTAATTACTATATGCCTTTGGTGAATTCTAGGACTTATCTACCAGTTTTGTCTCAAAAATAAAGGTTTGGATGTGTTTCTCTTTTCATCACTTGTAGACATTTTGTTTTCTTCAATTCTACTCAGAATTTTGGTAGTCATTGTATCATGTTGTATCAATATTAATGGAAATTGTGCTTATTGTGTATTCTCTCTCTCTCTCTCTCTCACTGTCACACACGCGCGTTTGGACGTATTAAAAGCATCATCCATTTCCCAACTTGCTAAAGATTTTCAAAATCCTAGTAGCCTCAAGCCACTCTCTTTGATCAACTAAAGCAATTCCATAATCCGTTTCTACTGATTACTCATCTTGGTATAACTTATCTCAAGAATAGTAACAAAAGCAGTACTAAATTTTTATCCCAAGACTATGTATGCACCAAACCATATCCCTTAAAAGCCTATCAATGTTTTAGGATTCTTTTTGCTAACATGAGGCTATCCAGAAAATCACCTTATAGTGACTGCTTTATTGTCATTTACAGAGACTAACAATACTAATTTCAAAGCTACAGACATTGGACTGGAACAATTTAATCAATTAGTGATGAAAGTGTGGAGAAAGCATATTCTTCATCGTTTCCACAAATATATGGAAGATGGTATATCAAGTGTTATTTTATTACAGCTCCCAAGCCTAAAGATTACAAAATCAATATCAGAAGTACTACAACAGTTCGACGCATAAGCAGAGTGATACTACTTTCTGCAGTAATATATCTCATTCTTCTTTACCCTGGTTGTTCACGATAGTTTTCAGCTTTTCCTTGAGTTCACCACTCTGCATGGAAAAAGAATCGATCAGCATTCCGCACTTAACCAGTTGGACTCGATTCACATAAACAAGTCAAATTACCTGATGCATATTGAGGATGATATCTGATCCACCGATAAACTCCCCATTGATAAATATTTGTGGAAATGTGGGCCAGTGGCTGAAAAAAAGAAAGAAATAGAAGGGAGTATAAGAAAATTTTGGGTCATGATTCCTTTCTGCATACCACAGATGCTATGGCGACAGAAATAGCAAGGGCTCTGGAAAGGTGACAGAGACAACATATAGCTTGAAAAATAGATGACCAAGATTTATTTTTGGTGTTATCAAATAATGTTCAGCAATGCACCCAAGGGCACATAAGGTCTCAGGTTCAATCCAAACAATCCCAACAGAGACAGAAATACTAGGTGTCCATCTGTCCTAGGCTTGCTGGACAGAGTTACTTAGTATGTGTTGCCGATGGGAGGTGACAGGTATCCCGTAGAATTAGTCGGGTGCATGCAAGATGGCCTGCCTGGACATCACGGTTATAAAAAAAAGCTCCGCAGTACAAAGAATTGAATTGATCTTTTGAGCTCTTTAGAGATAAACTACTAGTGAAGTTCTATAGCACCCACTTGATGCTCTTTAAAACATATTCACTATGTAGTATATACAAAATAAAGGGTCACCATTTTATAGCTACAAAAATGTAGATATACGACCTACATATACCTCAAATAACTACATAGCCACAGAGTCATCACCAAGAATGTAAAATGCTGGCATCATCCAAATGAATCAATGTCATATCATACTTTATAAATTAAAAAAACAATGCAATACTATAAGAATGAAAAGAACCAATTTACACCACATTTAGTCACAAAAAAAAAGTATAAACTTGCCTCGACACTCAAATATCATCTGACCTTATGAACAAACCATTAATCATTTCCAGAGTTTACTATGATATTTAAATGGCAGCTGACATCCCATCAGCAATATGTCTACCCCAATGACCCTGGTTTCTCTAAAGGATGTGCGTTAATGTTAAAAAAAATTATTGCTCAGATCACAGCAGAGGGCGAAAGATGGCCACTCAACATCTAGAATTGTGTATCAATCCCTTCTAAAAAATGCAAATAAATTTGTCGATAAATAATTTTCATAGCCATAGACCATTTGGCATCAAACTTACCTGAAAGCTTTTACAGCATTCTTAAGCTCAGGATCTTCTAAGATATTTCTGGCACTTATAGGAGCATCTGCAAAGACAATATAAATTGGTAAGAAGATGAAAACCAATTAAGGGCCCATGGACCTCTATCAGAAATCTACACTTGCAAGTGAAGAGGATGCAAAATCCAACAACAAGAGATATCACTTATAGCACATGGACTTACTGTATTCTTTGAGAACTCTAACAGCCAATGAACTGAATCCACAACGAGGCAGATCTGGCACACCTTTCATGTATATCATCACAGGATTTTCCTTGACATCCTACAATAGAAGGCCGACAGAATAACGAAATCTGAACACTTAACAGAACAGCAAATAAGCGAAAAAGGGTAACACAATCTCTATATTCAAAGATTGAAAACAAAAGAGCGTTGACTTGCCAACAAGCAGAAAATGTACAGATATTGACTAAAGCTACCTGCTCAACAATATTCTCCAGAGAAAGACCTGAACTCTCAAGCTTACTAGTAGGTCTAAAATCTTCATGAGTGTCAGGGTCACTAGGCACAGAAGTTGAATACCGCACTTCACCCTGGTGGATGGATCTGGATGTCTATTATACAAATCAAGCAACTGTTAGGCATAATATTTTTGAACAGATAAAAGAAAAACCCTATAAAAAAAAAACGATTTTGTCTAATCCCGTCTATGGACTAAACACATGAGAAGACACTGGATGGAAACATATAGTAGAAAGATTTGAGCAGTGGAAAAAGGCATTAGTTGATGTGTTGTTAATAGTAAGCACAAACAGGGTGACAGTAGTGTTTATTCTTACAATTGCAGATGAACGTGCAAGTGGGTAGGCTGCAAAACGCTTCAACATCATTTGAGATAATGATCTCGCCATAACAGAAGAGACGATTTGTTCAAACTCTTTCAGCTGCAGGGATGATTAAATAAGAAAAAAATACAAATCAGTTCTTAGTGCTTCACATTCTCAAAATGATAGTAAAAACCTGAGCTACAAAGCATACAACTCCCTTATGGGACCAATGAAGCTAAACTATCAAAATTATGCACAGGCATAGACTACTATTTAAATGAATAGGGGTCCAAATGGATTGTAATGGGGATAGTGGATTCATATAACTGACTGAAACTAGTACAGGATTGAGGCACTTTTGCCATTGTAAATAGTTTCAAGTTTATCACTAATGTTGTTTCTTTTATCTAGGTGATCTTTACTATTTTTGTGTAGATACTTATCTTTCCTTCGAAATTATGCCATAGGGATGAGGTCTGCATACACCCCACCATCCCAGACCCACTTGTAGGATCACACGGGGTATGTTGTTGTTACTTGTTGATATTATCACAGACATCCCATCTCTATGACCCAATAATCATTATCAAACCACAACAAAAAGCTCAATGTAATATCTGATCCGAGAATCTTTAATCTAGCCAAATGTTCTAATTCCAAACATGGGTTGAGATACAACATTAAATTAACACCCAACTCATAGAAGCAATTCATCGAACACCTACAAGCATAAAACTGAAAATTTTCAGACACCCATTTCAGCAAACGATAAAAAGCTTGTTTTTTATTTATTTATTTTCATCCAATGAACCCCAATTCACTGTTCAAAAACAATCGGAGAGAGCACGCAAAAATTGGAAATTAACATGAAAGCAATTACTACTGAATCACGAAAATACTGGTGCCTACAGAAATCTGCTGGCTTGCCAAGCGAATAATGACACAATTAAGGAAGATTAAAGAATAAATAGATGGGAAAAATGGAAAAAATTACCCCTCAGAGAAGAGAAAACCAGAGCGAGTCCTTTCTGTGCTTTTATACTTCTAAAACCCCTATTTCAGCTTTTCATTTAGGTATTTATAGCCGAGAGGGTGATGAAGAAGGAACGAAAAACGTATATTACCATTTTTGCCCCCTTGCCTTAAGGCTTACACCTAAATTTTGTGTTAATTTAATTACCTTTTTTAACTAGATAATTTTATAATCTAGGTAAAGAGCGTGAATGCACTTTCTTTCAAGCACATGAAAGGAGAGAAAAAAATAGATCAAAAAAATCAACTTTCAAGTAGTTACTTTCAATTATTAATTGTCGCATAATCAATATAATGATTCATTTGTTTCGAGATCTAAATTGGAAGTTGCATTAATATATTTATTCAAAGTTTAAAAGGATATCACAAGCAACTTGAGAAATTAATCGGTCCTTCACAAAACTAGTAAACTTAATTCACAAGTTGAGTTAATGAAATAACTAATTACAAAGAAAATGAATTTAGACTGAATCACCTTTTAAATTTTCACATTCAAAAATGTTATAATATCTACTTTGGCGATAAAATATTTAAATTTACAAGTTAATTGCATGTGCAAATTTCCTAAGGTGGCTAATACCTTCCCTTCCTCAGTAAATCATCTGAGCTCTTTTTTTATTTTTATTTTCAAACAAAAGTTTCAAATGCCTTTTCAAAATGATCCCTAATTTCCAAAATAATTAGTGGGCGACTGTTTTCACACATACAACCAAGTTACGAAACATTTCTAATCGAATTTTTTTTTTTAAAAAAAGAAGATAAACAATCATATTGAATTTGTTGTCATTTCGACATGATTTTACCAGTTTCTTCATTGGTGCAGTAGATATGGAAAACATTAATTCCTTATCAACCAAATTTATCGCCGATCTTAAAAAGGATATCATGACAATAGTTATTTTCTCTTCAGGATTAAACCAATGATCTCAATTTAAGAATCGTAATGAAACATGCATGTTTCTAACTCTGATCGAGTTTCCATGCATGTGACATTAACGTAGCAGAATCGACCATAAGAGAACTTTTCCACGTCGCAGACTGTAAATTTTGCCTAATCGTAAACTTCTCAAACTCTTTCTTTCTCCATGATCATCATAGGTTCTCCATGCAAAAAAAAAAACAATACTCTGGATATCAAGATGTTCTTGAACTGGACGGCCTCATAATTTATTTGTAAATTTAGTAATTTTCACATATATATTTACATTTCGTATCAAAAATGTTGAAACCGGTTGAATCACGCACTATAAAGTATTAAGTATTGGGTTGTATACAACTTTGGATAAATATAGATCATAACATCGATACATATGTAAAATTAAATATTTTCTGGATTTAAACATGCCATTCACAAATCTCAAATGAGCTTATACGTAATATATAGCTCCAAACTCTAAGAGTGATTCATAAAGAAAACACGAAATTCATATATTCTGCTAGTATAACAAAGTTACAAATGTGTCTAACCGGTCTGTACCTTGATTAGTATTTGTTTGTGCTCTATGTAATCACATTATCGTATAGTTGTGGTTTTATTGCAAGTTATGAATGTTGAAAACGTTATAGCGGTACAATACTGAAACTTATGCCATAGCTGGAAAATTACGATATAAACATTGGAAAACAGACATACTATAGGGAGGCACAAGGTTAAGCTTAACATCGTTTAAAAAAAATTCCCTTGTGATCTAAACAAGCTTTATGTTTCATATGTTCAGAGCTAGTAAACAAGGAACTATAATTTCATGAGGGGGGGAACACTTCATGTTCTTAAAGTATCAAAAAGTAAGAATGGAAAAGAACGACAACGGCGATGTTCATTTGAGAGTACAAATAACAGGAATTCTGACATGAAATTCCTCCATTCAGTGATGACAAGATACCTGAAAACCAAAGAACTTCAACCTGAAAGGAATCAAGCATTAATTCAATGGTTTAATGCCCGAAGGATCTTGGCATGCGCCTTGATGACCTGTTGTGTCTCCTCCAGGTTCCTGGTCTTTCCCCCGTGATTATCTGATGGAGCTTACCTACTAGCTCTCCTGCTTTCGGATCTAGCACTAGTTGTGATCGACTAGCACTCAGTCCAACAGCATCATCATCTCGTCATATGACCAAGTCACATATGGGAGGTCATTCAGAAAGGAGAACTCAAATTCCAAATCCAATAACGAGTTGATGTCTGGACTAAATCCATCCTCAGACTCAGAGTACACATCATCTAGGAAGTCAAACATACCAGCAGGCATCTCAAAGAACTCATCGGGAGGAACGAGATCACCTACTGGCGTCTCATATGCACTGAGAGTATCCCCAACATCTCTTTGAATCTCCAACCTTCTCCAATCAGACAGTCTTTGAGGGTCAGCCTCGGCTGGCCTGTCTGAGGGATGCTCAAGCCTGGCATGCTTTCTTAGTTCTCCATAATTGCCATTAAAATTGCATGTCTCCAAGGAACAACTCCTGTGTTTGGAATTCATGAATTTACGAGCTGCCTCTACGACAATCCATCCTTTAATCTGTCCCCGGCAAAGAGGGCAGACAAGCTCTGGTTGCTGTCCCCCAGCAGACCAGGTTGTTCTGGCTGAAGGTTGTACCTGATTTCCCCTGTGGAGCATCGACCCCGATAGAGTACTTCGCTCTTGTGGAACTTCTGATTGTGTTCCAGATGATAGTTTACAAAATTGATCGAGACAATTTGAATGACGGTAACTTGTGTCACACATATAAGGCAGGCAACCCTTTTCCCCGGATGAGCAAAGTAGAAGGACAGCATTGTGTGGATGCTCCATACATATAGCGCACCTAGCTTCTTCCCATTCTCTTTCATTCTCTACTGGTGGTAGATCAGTATTCTTTGAGCCGCAATCATAAGGAGATACCCTTGCCCCGTTGAAGGACGAAGAGTTCACCATTCTATCTTTCGGCATGTTGAGCTGTAGGAAGTCACTAGATTTCTACTTCTATGCTCCACAATACTGCTTCTGAGATGGGCAGAAGGAAAAAATTGATAAATAATCCATGACAACTAATCATCAATGCACAATCAAAACAGCAGGACTTCATATAATCTATGTTGCTCGGACTCTTCAAAAATATCAAGGGGTGTGTGTCAGATCCTCCAAAAGTAGTGCATTTTTGGGGATCTGGCATGGGTGAAGCAACATTTTGGAGAGCCCGGGCTACATAAAATATAATTATAAAGTAACACCTTTTAATATCAGGTATACTATGCACCTTCCTTTTCTGTCTCTTCTTTCCGAAATGGGAGACAACTAATGTACTCTCATTTTAATAGTCACATTACAAATAAATTAATCATTCCATGATGTCCTCTTATAAATCACTACAGCTGTGAATGTGAAAATTTATTACAAAAGTAACTCAACTCTTGATGCCAGATAACTGCACTAAGCCTTGACAGCTAAAAATCATATTCAGTTCTTCAATTCACAAATAAAAGTTCCTCATCTATTGAAGTATTCTTCACCCTTCCCCACTTGAGGTTTACTCATGTTAACTGCATCAACTACTAACAATGGCTGAGTACACTATATCTGTATATCATATCAATTCAACCACTGGGGACTAAGAAATGAATCATACACATGCATAAACCCCTCAAGCTTCCCAGCTGAGCCATTTGCAAAGAACTTCTATGATCCAGCATTTATTATTAGTATAATTAACTCAACTAGCAGTCCATATTAGCAATACACTAAAATAGCCCTGTTCTTTTTTTACTACCCGTCTTAACCGCTTGGTAGTGATTCTTTTACATTTTTTAGCTGATTAATCACGATACAGAGTGGTCCATTAACTAAGCCTACATTTTAGGAAATAACTTCTAATAAATTATCTAACCCTAGATTATTATTCTTTGATGATATATATAAGCCTGCATTTTTGGATGTAACAGATGACAACCATTTGAACTAAAACTAGTAAAATCATAATACTATGCGCATGCATTGGACAACGTATATCTCACACACCATTTTTTACTTTATGTCTTTATCTCTATTATCTTTCTCTATCTATTACAGTGGTTAACATTTTTTAAATACCCAGTGTATCTTCCTCTTTGAAATACTACCTTTCTTCATCTATGTATCTATATCTTTCTCCATAATTTCACCACCAAAATTTAAAACCAAGTGTCTTCATTAGCAAAGGTCTAATATTATTCTCACTCAACTTCATGGGTTTTTCTGAATTTTATCTTCATCTACTTTGGGTGCTTGGTACATAGGCGTCAATGCATTCCTTGGTAGGTGTTGATGGTAGGAAATGAAGAAACTATGGAGGTTTTCAATCAAAAAAATGGTGAAGAGAAAGGTTTTCAAAAGTTGTCCAAGGGTGCAATGATGGAACTTTAGATGGCGTTATTGATGCTCTCATGGGTTACTCTGTCAGTGTTGAGAGGAAGTACCTTGAGTAACCTTCAAATATACACAGTCTGCCTTGTATAATCATTGCTTGCTCACTGTATACCATATGCAAGATTTGAGAAAAGTATGCCTACTGCTATGGTGTAAAAAGTTTTTGGTGAGGTGCGAATACACTGTATATTCAATGTCTATTAAATATATAGTCAATGTATGAGGTATATACATAGAGTGTGTACTATCAATTGTCTAAACCTAGGAGTGCAAAGTCCAATCTGCCTAAACCTAGGAGAAAATAGCATATACCTTATAAAAACACATTTCAATCGATCAAATTCAATAAATGCCTCTGTCAAAATCATCATTAAAACAATGAACAAATGATCAGCCATTGTCTAAGTTGGGATAAATATAAATAATTAGCTTCTTTCCTCCCCTAATTAGGGTTTACGCCAAAACTAACATGGCAGAACCCTACACCTTAATCTCTCGAACCAATAAGGTCATCCAGAAAAGTACTACTTATATGATGAATTAATTATAATTAACCTTTGCTTTGTCGAATTCGAAAAGGTCAGATTGGAAGCAAGGGATACTTACTGGTGCTGATTCAGATCTAAATTCTCCGGTGACGGAATAAGGAGAAAAGCCACCGGAAAATGAAACTTTTACCAAAACATATATAATCACAGTGATAAAACACATTCCCGAGAGAATTATCATACAACCAAACAAAATTGACAAGTTAAAGCTGAAAAATGCACATGAAAAACAGAATTCAAATAAAATGACGAACCTGCAAGTAGATTTACTAGGTCAAGCCTGAACTGTCACCAGGTGGAGCTTACAAAAGTTTCCACAGCAACAAAAAAATGGCGATTTGAGGTTTGGAGATTGAGGAATCTGCCGAAACGGTCTTAGACATTGGAAGGAGGCTCTGCCGCCGGCCGCCGGTAGAACTCGGGGAGTGGGGCAATGGGCAAGAATGGCAAGTCGGATAATATTTCTTTGTTTATATATGCTGCCAGCATCATAATTTCAATTTTACATAGCAAGTACTCACTTATTTAATTTTTGAGTTATTACTCACACTTTTTATGAATAATTACAGAATTACACATATTTTTTATTATTATTATGAATAATTCACCTACCTTTCTAAAGAAAGTAAGATAAGATTTATGTATATCATTTATATTAATATACCATTCTGGGGTAGTGTCAAAAGAATATGAAAAATCGATCGAATCGAATTAAATCGATTTGTGTTATTTTTTCAATAAAATCAGAGATTTTTATTTAAGTGTATAATCGCCCCGAACAATTGAGATGGTCTTTTTAATTTATGAAAAACACCAAAAAATTCTCGAACCAAACCGAATCACCTTACATGATCTACATATATTTTATATATTAACAATAAGTCAAAATTTAATATATAAATATAGTTTATAACATTTTTCTAATATAAATATAACTTAAGTCCTAGGCCTCTTGTGACTAGACGACTTTGGGTCTTTGTTTTTTAATTAGTCTTTACTTGATTAGGTTTAAAATTAAAAGATAATGTAATAGATATTTTATCAAACAATACAACAAAACCTATGCAAACACTCTTATTAAGTTATCATGGGGCTAGCTATCATTAGGGGCGGCTCAACATAATTTGTGGCCTAAAGCGAAATTTTTATTAGAGGCCTAAAATCTATATAAATTTTATCTATATCTATTTATTTTTCTAAATTTCTAGACGTAAATTACTACTTAATATCTTTTATATAAATGATTTTTCAAACAATTTTTTTTTAATTATTAGTTTTAAGTAAGATTTTATCAATTCAACATTGAAAAACATCCTTTTATTGAGACAATTATTATATGAATTATTAACACAATTTTATAAATAATAAGTTGATAAACTTTAAAGATAAGAGTTAGAATCATAGAATTTGATTCAAAAAGTTGATAACTTGGTATACCTACTTTAATATGAAAATTAACAAATAATTTTTTTAAAAAAAATTGTAATGCACTTTGTTCAACACTTTTCGACTATTGATTCATATTTTTGAGAATGTATTACTCTAACTATCAAAGATTTGAAGAAATAGAGTGCACAAAGAGTTACAAAGAATAAATAATGTGAGTGTTAACGAAGAAAATGTAAGAATCCAAAATAATGTTTCCTTAATTTATTCTATTTGAATGGGGTTAAGATACATAATTTTTTATTTATAAAAATTTGAGGCCCCCAAAAATTGGGGGCCTAAGGCCAATGCCTAAAATTTTATAGGCAAGAGCCGGCCCTGGCTATCATGGGTAACTTATCCCACCATGTATATGCGATAACTTATCCCATTACTATGATATAAATGGTGGAATAAGTTATCCCAAACATGACAACCAAACAAGATAAAATTTTTTTATCCCATAGCTATTTCCTTATCCCATCACTATTATTTTTAATCCCTCACACCAAACGACAATGTTTAAGATCAAACAATACGGCAACAAAGTTTAACATTCTTGTCTTCTTGGTGAAGAATTAAAGTGTTTCTTCAAGAACATATTTGCGAAAGAAATATTTTAATAGTAGTATATTTTGAGTGATATTTTAAAAGTAAAAAAAAATGAAAAATTAACCGAGTTGTACCGATACTGAAGAGAAACTGATATAATTGAGATAGCTTTTAAAAAAAAAACTAATTTTGGTTATATATTATAAAATATCCGAAAAATTATGATGGTGTAATTTTTAAAAAATAACCGACCGAACCATACGATTGACACTCCTACTTCTAATTCTTACTCCATCTGTCCCTAATTACTTGTCCATTAAATATATTGTTTTTATATTAGTAAATTCAAGCTGATAGTCCAGTTTTTCTTTTTATTTTTTATATATATTTTTATTTTTTATAAAAATAATATTTCATCCAATAAATCGGTCACCTTAGTGAATCCGGGGATCAATGAAAATGTGTTCAAAATTACGATATTTAAAATTCAAATGTTACCGAAAGCAAAATTGATAGGTTATTTCATATCTGTTTGGTTTTTAATAGGCAGGTTATCTGATATTTATATTGATGAAAAATAATAAGCATTCCATTAAAATTGGCAATACACATAAATATACTCAAATAAGACGTTTATAATAACAAAACAAAAAATATCCCAACACTCAAATTGGTTAATCTATTATATTTCACTAGCAGATAATTTAGTGGGAAAAAAGAGTTAATAGTACTTAGCCTGACATCTAGAAAAAAATTTAAACACCATCCATTACAGATATTTCTAAAGAGAATTAGAAAAATATAAGAGCATCACATCTAAGATTAAAAAATTTAACCTAAAACAAGTTTTGAATTATACATACTAGAAGCTCATTCATACACATTAAATAGATTAAAAGTATGTGCATACTTGCGCAAATATTATATATAATACTTATATAATAGATTAAAATTCTTTATAATGGTACTTTTTAAAAAATCACGAATATATTAACATTTTATATTTTATATACAAGATGCATATGTCACTCTATCAAAAGTTTCTAATAGTGAGCACTTTCTGAATAGAAAAAAACAACAAATATTACATTATTACTCCTATTTAGAAATGGGAGTTTGGGAGGACCAACATTGCACTAAAGAGTTGGACTAAAAGCTATAGAAATTGTACATTGAGGCCCACCAAAAAGATGAACTATTCTTTTTTTCTACTTTCCATTCTCCCCTTTTACTCTCTTTAGTTTATCTTTCATCTTAAATTTTTCATCTTTAAAATATTTTGAATTATTAATTATTATGAATTATAATGTTTTGATTTTTACGTAGTTTACAAATATATAAATTTCATTTTTAAAAAATTGAAGATATCATACGCAAATTTATGGTCAAACTTAAACTATTTGATTCTTGAGAAATAAAACGTGTCACATAAAATGGGATAGACGAAGGATAACTCTCAATTAAATTTATTTCACTTTTTAGTTTCCATTTTTAACATAATTTTTGAAGTTGGATTTGTAGGAATTCTATAGTAGACCCATTTAAATTTGACTTTTTTTGTTTTAAATTAGAGAACTTGGTCGCACTTCGCACGATCATTAACATTAAATATTTTTGATTAATTTTATATTTACTCTGTTGTTTAATCGTAATATTATTATTTGTTTTAATAATATGAAGATTGTGAAAAAAATAAAGCTTCACAAATTTTACATCTATTAAATGAGGAAGAATATATTTTTTATCAAATAAGTTAAAATATATTTGCTAATAACAAATTCTTCCATTGCATGAAGTTGATCCTTTAATATATAATATATATTCCGGTGTACCATTCTCCTTAAATGTCTAAGAAATATCTCATAATGTCAAATAACACTGTAATACTCCCTCTGTCCCTAATTACTTGTCCACTTTTAAATTGACACGTTTATTAAGAAATCAATAAATGACATAGTGAGTTTATCATTTTACCCCTATTAATTATGAAGTAGATGAAAAATTCTGCAATTTTCAAAGTAATTAGTCATTTAATTGAGGGTATAATAGGTTAAAAAAATATTCTTTCTTGATTTGTCAAAATGGACAAATAATTAGAGACAACTATAAAAGGAAAAGTGAACAAGTAATTAGGGACAGAGGGAGTATTAAACAAATGCATCAGCAAATGAAATTTATATTAAAAATATATTGAATGATGACGTAATGATACCTTAATAGAATTTCCTATCCATTTAAAAAAAAAAAAAAAACTTCACTCTTTCAATTTCGTTATATCTTCTTATTTAGTAGAAGAATCATCATTTATTATATTCTACTCCACCTTAATTGTACCATCAGAGTTTTAAGAATAAACATTAAATTTTAAATCGAAATAAAAAATCATTGAAAAATGACAGAAAAAATAATAATAGTATATGAAAATTAAAATAAGGTGCAAGAAAAGCCTTTTCACGATAATTTTTTAAAATATATTGATAACAATTAAAATGAAGCTGTTATTTTATCTTTAAAATTAAGTTTGATTGAATTGAATTAGTACAATGAGAAAAAATATTAAACTAATAACTTTTTAATGTTATTAAATGCATTTTCTTTTTAATTGAGTAGTAGATTAAAAGTTCCGAATTAGGATATTAAAATAATATCTTACTCTCTCCTTAATTATTATGGTATTGCAAACATTTATTTTCCTTAAATGGTGATTCATTTTTCATTTACAGTTATATCCAATTAATTTCTAATGTATTGAATGTGGTTATGGGATATTGAAATAATATATTTATCTTTCCTTAATCATAATAAAATTATAATTTAACATTTATTTTCTGAAATTATAATTTTGTTTTAATTCCTAGAACATATTGTTTACTATATTGAATGTAATTAGAATAAAACATATTGTATTTAGTATGACAAAAGAACTCAAAAATTGGAGAAATTAGATAAATAGTAATCTTAGCTTCTAAGAAATGTCACATCATCATTTACATATCCAACTTTATATATATAAAAGAGTTAAAAAAGAAAAAATAAGTGATTTAAGAAAATTATATAAATAACATTAGTGATCAGATGAAGATTAAGAAAAAAACGTCAAATAAATTAGTAGTATTGATGACGATAAAAGTTAAATAAATCATTTTTTCTATTAGTAAAATTTTTAACATAAAATTTCCAATCTTTTAAAATTAAAAATTAAAAAAAATTCGACGCAATAATTATTTTAAAGAAAAATATAACCAAAATTGTCAGAAAAAATTGATAAAAATAAATAAGTATCTATTACTAAGAATGGTGTCACTACATTTTCTATTTTAACTTTATTGTTACATATGGATAGAAACTTTTAGAAGAAGAAATGATTCAAAAATTTAAAAATAATGATTCCTTAAATGGTGATTGCTTTTCCATTTACAACTTTTCAATTAATTTTTAATGTATTATATATGGTTATGGATATTGGAATAATAATTTTAGCTTTCCTTAATCACAATAAATTA